GGACTGCTGGGTGTGTGTGAGACGATTGAACACGATCGCATTTTCAGTGTTCATCATCCTGCTTTATGAATCTAACATATATTTTGTTTTTCACTCAGCTTGTATTCTGCCGGCTGTGAGCCCTTTAACAAAGTACACAGGAATGATGAACAAAGCTGTTCCATTTAATTATCCAGGTACGTTATTCTTTTTACATGATGTCTAAATAGTTCAGGTCACTTCTATGTGGGTGTTTCTTCAATAAGAGGGACGGTTTAATATATTTCAGACATTGTAAACAACAAAGTAATGTTGCTATTTGGTTATTTCCCCCGTTAGTTTGATCTTTTTAATCACGTTTGACTCTCTTCAGTCCCAGTTCGAGATGATGGAAACATGCCAGACGTCCCAGCGCACCCTTGTGACCCACAGGGGAGAAACCTGGATTGGCTAAAAAACATGTGAAAAGTCCTTCAAAATCCTGTACAATCTTGAATCCAAACCCTCCTTTACTTCTGTCTCACTTGATGAATAGCCCTCAATAAACGTGCTCTTTATTTAATTATCATGTTGTTTTTTTCTTGATATTTTAGCCTTTATAAAATAGACTTGCCATATAATGCTAGTTTTAAAATGCTTATTGGCTTTTTAGCATCATTGTTAGTATATAGAGTTCGACACCTAAAACAACAGAGATTAACTTTGTTTATTGAAGTACATTTAAAAAAAAAAATCTATATAGTTATCATGATGTTAAAACATTCAAGAGTCCAAAATATATGAATGATCCATAGAGACTGAATCCTGAGCCAAAAACATCTAGGGAAAGTAGTCATGTGTCTGTCAGGTGCCTTCATAACACATAAGCATAAAATAATAATCAGAATAGTACAAAGCAAAGCAGCCGGACTGACTTGTACAGTAAAGTCCTGCTTTAAACACCAGTAGCAGGAGTCTCTGGGATATTTAATAAAAGTACAATGTCAACAGGGATCAAACCTGCTCAACCGCGATTACATCAGTTCGGAAATTAAAATGACAAACTAATACAGGCTAACATGCAGAGGAGTCCAAAAGTCTGAGCTGTGTCTGGGATAACGTATTACAAGTTACGTAATCAGATTACTAGTAGAGTAATGCATTACTTTTACAACAAAATATGAGTTACTTTTTCAAATAAGCAACTCAAGTAATCGACATTTCCATAAAGCCACAATATGTATTTTTTCTGCTTTAAAAATAGCAAAAATAACTGTATCTATGTTATATATTTCTATTAGATGTGTACTTACATTATCCCGACAGTTTCCCCCAACTTTCAAATACGGAGAAATTTATAGTTTAATTCGAAGACACAGGAAGTTTCTTTATTTCCGTTTCGTCGCCCATCTATGGCGTCATATAACCTTTGACTCCTCTATTTTCTCTAACTTCCTTGCGGGACCCGGCGAAGCCGCCAAACACAAAGGGGAACAGTGGACTACCGCCAATAAAGCAAAGAAAATGACGAAGAAAAAAAAGTAGTAAGTATTTTTATGTGTGTAAATCACGTGCCCGCTCACGAGCGCTCACTCTTGACAGACTGTCCCCGGTGCTGCTCGCGCATAAAGCGCTCCCCGTTCACAGTAACCGGGTCGTCTCATTCAAAACTGATTCAAATCAGCCAACTGTTGCTGTTAGCGAGCCGCGCACATTGAATACTCATATGAGTCAGGCTGCGAATGTAAGTTACGTGCCCGCTTCGGCGCGCTCATGCTTACTAAATAAATGCCTCACCTCCGCGACGCGCACTCACTACATTCCCTTTAGCCTTGGCACAGTGGATGCTAACGCAAACCCAGTCAAACGTTTGACTGCAGTATCTTATGTGCTTTATAATCCGGTGCGCCCTATATATGAAAAATGTTCTAAAATAGGTCATTCATTGAAATGAGCGTAATATAAATATTCATTCGTCTGTATTATAGTTATGGACCACGATTACGCTTTGCCTGCACGTTCTGCTGCTCAGCCAGCTCAGTAAAGGTCAAACGTACGGGTGAAAAATATGACCCGAGAAGGGTTTGGGACAGGAGAAGCATGACACGGGTAAACATTGGGGTTGCATTTAAAGCTTCTTGACAAGCTAAATCTACAGAGAGATGCCGTATATCCGTATATTTTGTGAAACGATGATGTCATGCCACGAGCTGAGCTGGTTGTCATTGACAGCGACAACAACTCCCGTGAGCCCATGCTCTTTCCCGACGTCATCAAAGTACGTCTTTTGTTATTATTTTAAATAAGTGACCCCTGGTGGCCAAAAATCGCATACTGTACGTACTGTTCACTTTTGGTGTGAAAGGTCCTTTACATTTGCTAAAAATAGAACTTTTGTTTTGTTATTAAAACACAAACACGCAAGCCCAGCACAAGTGTGAGAAGTAATGCAAAATTACCTTTACTTTTACTTTACAAACAAGTAACGGATTACTTTTAAAAGTAACTTTCCCCAATAGCGAGTCGAGATGCTTTTCATTTCAACTCAGAAATAAGTCCTAGGATTTCAATGAATGAGAAATGAACATGGTATTCTAGATGTGCATTTGTAGATCTCTAATCAAGCGTGAACGAGTGTCATTGATCATGTGACTTAGACGGTCAGATCTTCTTCCATTGAAACTCAAGGTGCTCTTTGGATTGTCTAAAATCATGCAGAGACGCATCAAATATCAAAACTATGATCATTTTTTTCAGTTAATCTTACTGAAATAGTTATGGTGATGCATTAAGAAAACATTTGTATTAAATTTTTGAATATTCTCAGACTTTTGGACCTCACTGTATTACAATAGACAGTTAAATTTACATATATAAGGTTGGAGATTAACCCCTTTTTGCATTATTCAATTTAAGATATCCTTATAATAAAAAAAGTTAATAAACGAAGGGGTCAAAACAAATTGACCCAGGAGTGGAGAAAACAAATGAACAAAGTTGGCATCAGTTATATTAGTTTCAGTGTAAAATCTTTTAAGACAACAGACCTTAGTCAGGTTAGATGCCATATTGAGTTGAACGCGGATGAAAACGAGGCTAGACGTGTAGTTTTTACAATGGCACAATGCTATAAACATCTTAGATAATGTAATTTACACAACTCACATTTATAGTCGTGGAGTTTTTGTCTTCAGTAAGACGTTTTATCAGCTGAACAATGTATGTTAAACAGCAGTACAATCCATTTAACACACTGTAATTTTGCAGCCTCGCTTTCATTCCTGTCAAAAATGTAATATGGCGCTACCCTGACCAAGATCTGCTCAAAAACAATTAACACAAATTCACATGTAACTGAATCATATGTTGAGGTTCATTTTAAACCAATGGACAAAGACATCTCTGTCCCAAAATTATGGCAAAAACATGGGGAAGAAAGAGTTTGGTAACACTTTATTATAAGGTGACGTAGTTTGTTTATAGTAACAGTAAATTATGCATAATCACAAGTAACTAACCTTAAACCAAGCACTAACCATAACTATAGGAAGTACAAGTAATTGTTACTCAGTACTAATAAGAGAAATTACAATGTCGCAACGTCACCTTAACAAGTGTAACAGAGAGTGTTTCATTGTCTTTTATTTATAGATTGAACAACCTACAGCTACACGACTTCAGCACAGTCACATCCTCCAACACGTCTACACTTTCCAGACCTTTCTTTCACATCTTCAGATCTTCTCTCTGCACACAGCCTTCAAACCCCTCACCTAGAGTCTGCTGCAACTCGTGACTACAAGCTTATGTTTGGCAGATCGGGGGTTTAAACAAATACATGAGACAGATGGGGGAGGGGGGCACAATCACAACGCTCTTCCACAATCCTTTCCAACTCTTTCAAAGCCCTTCTGTAATTATACTCCATTTTCCATTCAATTTATTCTTTCCTTTTGACACCAGCCGCCTGCATACCTACTAAAGTTCCAGGATTCATTGTCTTTATTTAATGAAAACTTCAAAAAGTTTTTTTTTTTTTTCTTAATCATATCATGTGTATCAGTATTGTACAGAAAAGAGAAAAAAAATATCTTGTTAAAAAAAATTATTTAGTGCTCAACAGAAAAAAAAAATACAGCATATGTAATAGGGATAGTTCACTTTGAAATTAATTGTTGATATGTTTTAGCTTACCTCAAGGGCATCCAAGATGTAGGTGTCTTTGTTTCCACGGTATTTTCAATTTTGATATTTTTAGGTCAAACCGTTCTTGTCTGTCAGTCATATAATGGAGGTCTATGGTCACCACCTCAAAGAGCATGCACAGAGAAGTCCAAATTAAACACGATTTATGACTCGTAAATGTAAGTACACATGATGCCCTAAGACACGAAACGAGTGGTTTGTGAGACAAAATGAACAGTATTTATATCGTTTTTACCTCTTGTAACCACAGCCACGTCCAAGTGATCTGAGGGCACGGGCGTTTTGCTCTGCGCAAACGCTGGAAGTGATCTCTCAAAGGTGATCTCTCAAACAATGAGTACGTCACTCATTGTTTACACAGAGATTTCGAAAGCATTACCTTTCACTGTGAAGATCTAAACATATTTAGATATACAGGAAATCACAATGGAAGACGATTTCGATTTATCAACAGACAACGTTTTTTCGCAACCGCACAAGAGATTACTTCCGCCGCTTGATCACTCAGATCACTTGGACGTGGCTGTGGTTACAAGAGGGGAAACCAATATAAATACTGTTCGTTTTCTCACACAAACCACTAGTTTCGTGTCTTAGGGCATCATGTGTACTTACATTTACGAGTCATTAAATCGTGTTTAATTTGGACTTCTCTGTGGATGCTCTTTGAGGTGGTGACCATAGACCTCCATTATATGACTGACAGACAAGAACGGTTTGACCTAAAAATATCCAAATTGAAACTACTGCGGAAACAAAGACACCTACATCTTGGACGCCCTTGAGGTAAGCTAAAACATACCAAAAATTAATTTCAAAGTGAACTATCCCTTTAAAAGACATGGCAGTGAGTAAAAAATGACAGAATTTACATTTAGATGAACTATTCCTTTATATATATTAAGGGTTGCGCAGACTAGTCGACTTTGATGTTCTGCCATGACGCTTAAAGATGACAATTTTAACAATGAAAAATGAAATTCTTCAAAATATCTTCCTTTGTGTTCAGCAGAAGAAAGACATTCATACAGGTTTGTAATAACTTGAGGGTGAGCACGTTTTTAAGTCAACTATTCCTTTAAGCTTGACCATGGCCTATAGAGGGGACAACAGGATAAGAAATCTAAGAAGTCTAAGACAGTTAAAATGATTAAAAATAAATGCATACTCTGAGATATGTTTGATAACAGAGCGTCGAGATGCTCAAAAGTGATCGAGTGAATGCACGTTTTAAACAGCTTATTGTAAACGTGAGTTAATCGCTGTTCTAAACTAATGTGATGCTGTATTGTAACACACACATAAAAAGACATGCTTTTAAAACACTGTCATCCATAACATGAATTCAAATGTTATAGATCAGATTTCCCCCTCTCTATTCCATGTGCACTCATACCAAATAACATAAAAACCCTTGAAATATTTCATTATCTTATAATGTAATACATATATAATATTCATTTGATGTTCTAAATGCTATTTTATCATTTATCTGCGCTTTAATCCTATTGGTTACTGTCTAAATGTGTTTCTGTTGGCAAAAGTGTTGCATATCAAAGGTTCAAAGCATTAGGCATCAGTGACCTTATTCCAGTCAGCATCTGTGGTTGTCAATCAAAGGCTCTGTTATATTACCGGGGCGGAGCGATCATTGGTCACCGTCTTCCTGAGTCGGATATGGGCGAAGGGATTGATCCTGTGAAGAGGTCAAGTTTAATCAACGAACCCATCAGACATGTAGTGTCTTAACATGCTCTTCTACACAGAGGGGACTAGCTGTACCTGGTGGGTGATGGCGGTGGAGAGGTGAAATCGCTGGACATCTGAGGAACACGAAAACCGTGTCAGTGGAATATATGCCAATATACTCTAATCCTAGCATGATTTAGTAAGACAGAAAAAACAACAACATCTACAATAGCAAAATTGATAATAATCTTAAATAGGAATAATCTTAAAGTCCCCATGTGGAATAAAGTTGTTTATAATGTCTATGTGGTGTTTTTAATGTGGTGTAAGACAATCCATGTGTAAATTCATACATTAAGTCGACGGCATTGCTGAGAATTTTCTCCTTAAAACTGCAGAGAACAAAAGACAGTCTCAAAAACACGGTTTGAAATCGATGGTGTTTCTGACGTCACAAACTTCCTTGTAGCCAGTGCTGGGAAAGTTCACTTTCTACATGAACTACTTCAAAGTTCAACTCACAAATTTTAAAATGAACTAGTTCAGTTCATAGTTCATACTTCACAATTTTGAACTAAGTTCGCGGTTCCAAAAAATGAACTAGTTCATAGTTCTTTTTTTCCATTTTTTTTAATTATTGCCACATACAACCCCTACTTCACTACCATAGTACAATAGCCTGGATGCCAGCCTGAACCCCGCCCACAACATTTTTTGGTTGGGAAGTTCGGTCTGGACTCAATCCATTGAGGAGTAATTATGATCAGTCAAAAAATGATCGGGCCAATCAAATTGCCAGGGCGGGCTTTATACGATGATGGACAGATGATCTGCAAGGACGTAATCATCACGTTATCAATTCAAAGAGCGCTTAACTGGTTTCCCTCAAAGATGACTGAAGCTGGAGAATTGAGATGTATAGATTCCGCTGTCACGTCTGTTGTGAAATAAATCGACAGCGCATTAATTTTAATAGACAAACAGAGAACTGAAATCAAGGCATTTGTTGATCGTAAAGATATTTTTGGCGTCCTTCCTACATGATTCGGGAAAAGTGTAACTTATCAGCTAGCTCTGACGATCGTTAAGAAGATGGGACGTAATGAAAAGCCTGTGGTCGTTGTGGTTTCTCCTTTGGTCGCACACTCGAAGCAACACTCGTTAGTTTACTTCTAAAATAAGTAAGTTCTGTAGTTGACAACTGTGATATGCTAAGTAGTTGACGACTATCCAATTGAGTGCAGTGTTTTTTTCCCCAGTTCGGTTAAGACACGCCTCATAATCAAAGCCCTACGGAGCTAGTTCTACTGACTAGAATACGAGTATGACGAAGTCAGGCTAATAGTACGATGCATCGTTCGAGAAATCAACTAGCTAGTCACGACTGTTTCCCGAAACCCATTGTTTGCAAAGTATCGTTCAACCACGTTGGTTTCGCACGTGGTGGAGTAACAACTACTTTTAATGAAACTGTTTGAGATCAAATTAACACTAGATTTGTTTTATATAAATTACAGACATGTCATCTGAGGACTATTTCTAATTGTTCTCAGTTATTTTGCTTAATTACCATACTCAATATTTGGCTCGTTCTTACATAGTCTAGCACGTTTGCACATGCACACTCTTCAAACATGGTACTTTAAATCTTTTGACAAACTAAAAGACGTAAATTACTAGGGCTGGGTAATAAATATCGATTTCTCGATATTAATCGATTCTCATTTTTACGAACAGATATCGATTCTTAAATCTCAAGAATCGATTAGTCATCCTGTTTCATTTGAATGAATGAGACATTGTATCGCGGCTGTGCGCATTCAAAAAATCGCAATAATCTTTGTCCTTTGTTACTATTGATATGAAACAAAGTCTTAATTTTCAAATTACGTCCATTTTCTTTAGAAATTCAAAAACATAAATAGCGTTTTGGCGCTGTGGCGTGAGATCGCTCTGGAGAAGCAGCAGCACTGATCTTTCTTCCGGGTTAATAATACCAGTCACAGCGCCAAATAAACATGAATGAGCATCTGAAAGTGTGTTAAAGATAGAGTACAACTTATCGAAATCCGTATCATGTCACATTGATTCGCTCAATCAGCATTTCAACCGTGGAAAGACGTCAGTTAAACAACTTGTAATCAATGTATCGTCATATTTACCTCAGAAAACCCACATAAACTCGTTAGTCAGCTAGAAAAAATAACTCCAGAGAGGAGCATTTTGCTAAATATATACACTATATTACATGCATTATAATCTTAATGTTCTTCAATATTTAATGCATATTTGAATAAATCTGGCAAGTTTTTATGACAGCCACTATTTAAATGTTTATATTTCATATAATCTTCTTATTATAAAAATAAATAAAAGTGTAATTCAAGTGATTCATTCATTATTACCTTCATATTAGGCTGATAAAGCCTAGTAGGCTACAACTAGTCTCCCATAGTTTACAGCATTAGTTAAGAGATTTGATTCCCTTGAGAAAATTTGCCATTTATTGTAACTGATATCCAAAATAATCGATATTGAATCGAATCGTAATCGAAATTGAATCGAATTGCAAGCTTGTGAATTGAAATCGAATCGAATTGTGAAATTTGTCTCAATACCCAGCCCTATAAATTACATTTGTATGTATTCTAAATAAAAGGCACTGGTTGTACTGAATATCAGCTTGCTTATTTTGTTCAAGATTAGGATGATGTCCAAATGTGAAACTATGCCTCAGGTCGAGAGCTGTCGTTCAAACCACACAACTTTGCGATGCTTTATGCGAATGTTCGTTGGAATGATGGTTTTGGGAAACACCGACTTGTTTGACTATGCAGATAACGACGGAACTTGTGACCATATTTGGCTAACGTTGCTTTCAGGAAACGCACCCCTGATTAACAAGTCAACGAGTGAATCTCTGAGCTGGTGTGAGTGAGTGGAGGCAGGGCTAATTAGCATATTCCTAGAACTGCATACTGAATGAGGCAAATAAGTCTAAATAAATAAGTTTAAATATGTCATTTTGGTGATCAAAGATGAGTTTTAAGAGATAAAATGATTGAGCACAGGGGGACTTTAAGGCAAGACACTATAAGCAAAACCCTTGTTTTTCATGCACTGGTCAATATTGAGATTTTGTGGCTATTTTGCTTCCATAACTTGTCTTCTTTGAGACTATTGGAAAGAAGACATCCATTTTAACATTTAAAGTTACACTAAGTAACTTTTTTGTTTGACATTAATTCACAAATTTAAATAATGAGTCAATCTTTAATCCTTCTTCCAAAATGTGTTTTTTTCTTAACCTGATTCACCATGGAGAGCCTGTTTTAAGTGTTTATATTTTAAAGCTGACAGGATGGTTTTCACAGGGAAATTGCGTATATGCGCCACTCGCCCGTGTGTCTCATATCCGGAAATAGAGAAAAGCTGTTCCGGCTATTTGACGTGTGTCTGGTGTGTGAGTGGCAGAGGTCAGTTGTCACAACGAGTGAGAAAGGTTGACATGGAGTAGCTAAATCTCTGACCTCCAGGGAACAGAAGAGTGTAAATTAAACATGATTTGTAATAAAACAAGAATCAACATTGGCTTGGCTTTCCAGAAATGGGCATATTTAAATAGGTAATGCCTCATTTGCATATTTACGCATAACATTCCAGAAAGCTTAATGTCTTAATATACTGTGATTAGTGTATGGTGGTAACGATTACTAATATTTTTTTTACCCTATTCGCATGCAGTGTCTGGCCTTATGTAGCACAACAGTCAGAGGAGACAGTCATGATGAACGTGTGTTTTCTGACCATGTCCTTCAGGCGCAGTCGTGGGCTCATCCTGCTGGTTTCGGGGTTCATCATGCTGTAGGGTCGTGGTCTGAAGGTGCTGACCCGCTGAGATATTACACTCCTCTCATCCTCTGAATCAGGAGAGGCCTGCTGTAGCTGACCAGCGGGAGGAAGCCTGTCCAGCTGCCCCATGCTGGTGCTGTTCACCTTCGACAGGGGAAGAGCGCTGGAGGAAGAGGGATAGAGAGAAAACAGAGAATGCGTATGGGAATGCATAAACAAAATTGAACATGAATGGGGTTTTGTTTTCCATACGGACCTGACGTCTTGTCCCGGAGTGTCTGGATAAGTCTGTGTGTAGGAGACGGGAAACCAGCCTTTTCTATGAAGGAGAGTTTAGATCATTAGCATACATGACATGAGCATCTGAATATCTTCTGAGCTGGATACGTTTAGGCATAAACCTATACAGGTTAGCTTGTTTTGAACTCTTTCACAGCAATGAAGGCAATTTCCATCGTTTATGAGTCAACGCTAAATCTGGATGTAGTCTTTGACAAAAACACGATTTTCTCAGCTTTTTGCTCAAAATGCTGCTTTTTTATGAAACTTGGACAAAAACTACAATAAATCCTGTTGGAAAGCATCTTTTGCAGCGATTTTTGTGTGAGCATATCAGTGAACACCCCCGACCACTATGTGAGTTTCACGTCTTTGTAAACTAAAGTTTAATGCATTTTAGGAAGGATTGTGGTTTCATTGTGTAGGTGGTTGGTGCAACCACAGAAACCTCAAATTCTCAGGAGGGCAGCATGTGTCCAAATTTCAATCTATTTCATCAGAAACGATCTTAAAACAGGGCTTTAAGTGTAAAATACCGAACTTGTCCTTTAAAGCAACACCAAGTAACTTTTCCTCAGCTGGCGCCCTACAGGTGGGAAGCGGAATTGTTCATTACCGCTGTTGTAAATAATTTAGCCTACCGCAGTCCACTGTCACACACACGCTCGCTGTTTATCCAGCACCGGCTTTGGAATGAATGATGTCCACAGACAAGGTAGAGTATGTTGCATGATTTCATGAAAGTATGATGTATTGCGACATCAGAAATGAAGAAAAACTAAATAATGACTATTGTAACGCTTGACGTAAAGCAAGTCAAATTTGTAGTTTTCTTATGTCTTATTAGAACTACAGAAACTCGACCCGATCTGGCAATCTTACATAGAGTGGTTATAGCAGATATAGGACCACAAAGCAGAGACATAAGTGCCTTTCACCCAGTTACGACTTGAACCACTGAAACGATTTTGGAAACATTATTTTAAGGTAAAAAAATCTTACATATTGTTGCTTTAAAGGGCTTTTCCTCTAAATGAAAAGGAAAGACTAAACATGATTACTGATTAAGGAAAAGTCCATATTGTGACAAACATAAACAGTTATTTAGACCTGCACCATAAATAAGCACACTCATGGCACTTTTCCATTACCAGTACCAGCTCGACTCGACTCGACTCGCCTTGGCTTGCCTCGGCTCAGCTCGTTTTTCCATTGCAGACAGCACCACCACATATAGTAAACGGTCATCATAGCGATGCCTTTCGTTCCTAGTTGCCCCATCAAGCTCTCGCTGGATCCTCTCTTTGGTACAGGTACAGCTTTTACACAGTGGAAAACCAAACAAAGGCGAGCCGAGCTGGTACTGTGTAGTGGAAAAGCGCCAATAGCTAATGTTTTATTGCCCTTGTTTTATTAACTGATGATTGATGGTCAGATACCGTCCAGTTCGCTCGTTCTGGCCGTAGTGCCAGCCGTCTCTGGGTTCACTGATCAGCAGGGAAAGAGTGTCTCCGGGCAGGAAGGACAGCAGACATGAAGCTCCTCCCTTCTCTCCCTCCGAGGAGTCTGTGGAGTGAGGGAACAGAGCCTCCACACGGGACGGCCCACAGAGAGGCAGCACACGGGGAAGAGTGGAGCCTGGAGAACCACAACCATTGGAAGAGGACGTTTAATACAACTGTGATAGAAAGGATTCTCCTAAATTAAACTAGATTAAAAAGGTTCAACAAGACAAAATTATTGGCTTGAGAAAGTAGTTTATAAAGTAGTTTTAAAAACTTTGTAGTTTTTAAGTCTCAGATTCCTGGAAATTCTGGGTGTTTCTATGCAGGATGTTCTGTCTGGTTGCTAGGGTGTTGCTAGGCAGTGCTAGAGTGTTCTGAATGGTTCCTAAGTGGGTGCTTGGGTGTTACTGGGCAGCTGTTAGGATGTTCTGGATGGTTGCTAGGCGGATGCTAGGGTGTTCTGGGTGGTTACTGTGGTGTTTTGAATGGTTGCTAAGTGGGTGCTTGGATATTACTGGGCAACTGTCAGGATGTTCTGAGTGTTCTGAACTTCTGGATGGTTGTTAGGTGGCAGCTGGACAGTTTCTAGGGTGTTCTGTATGGTTGCTAGGGTGTTGCTGGGCAGTTACTAGGGTGTTCTTAATGGTTGCTAGGGTGCTTTTTAAAAATAAACTGAAATCAGAATTAATAACAGAAAGACATTATTGTGATGCTGTAAACAAAAATGTGGACATTTTAAACATTTACGACTATAACAATATCAGGAAAACTATCAAAAAAATTTCCATAATATTTTACCTAAAAATAAAATTATATTTTACAAAATCAAGAAAATCAACACCTTCTTTTTGGATTTTGACAAAAGGACAATTAAATCATTTTTCCTCTAATGCAATAAAAATATTTTTATATTACTTAAATTGAAAAGTACATCTGTAAAAAAAATCATTATGGCCTCTTTAATGTAGTTATTTATCATTTTTAAATAATTAAAAATATCTTGATCATTTATATTACTGTTTATGTTATAGTAACCAAGGATGGTTAGGTGTCAAGAAAATATTTAAATGCTCCTCAAACTGATTTCATTCCCTAAAGAAAAATATAGCTTTTTATTTTTATCTTCTGCTTTTTTCGGCTGAAATATGGCAAAATATTTAAAAATCAGACGCACCCAAGAATCCCGTCCGAGCGTCGCTACTCTGTCTCCTCGGCAGTGGCAGTGTGGATGTGCCGTAGAGCTCTGGACCCTTCAGCACATTAGGAGCACTGGGAGAGCTGGACACTGCGTGATGGGCTGTGGACAGGACAGGTGTGAGTGCGCGGGACATAGGGGCGCTGTGGGGGAGCGGAGGGCTGTGGGGGGCTGTTAGAGGTGGAGTCAGGCCCTGCAGGGAACCGTGGGAGGATGTGGAGGTGTGGCTAACTGAGAGAGAAGTCTGTAACCCGGCCATGCTCACTGCTGGCTGGGAGTGGGCAAGGCTAGTGGAAGAACTGGAGTGGGCATTCCCATTCTGCTGAGACGTGTTGCCGACGAGAGACTGGGAGAGAATGTCAGACTGGGACGACCGCTGCTGTTGCTGAGAACGGCTGCTGCTGTCACCGTTCGACAGAGGTGGGACTTCCTGAATAGACAGCCTCTGAGAGAGGAGAAGGACATGAAGCATCATTAGTACTTGATTAATTACAGGGGAATTTATTGAAATATTTATATTTATAATATCTATTGTAAGAAAGCATGAAATACAATAAGCACCTTGTTGAATCAATGCCACGTAGAATTAAGGCAGTTCTGGTCAAAAACAGTATTAGTATAATGGTGTTCCTAATAATCCTTTAGGTGAGTGTATGACATTATACAATTTTTAGAAACACTTAAAATTCAATTTTTTGTGTATAAAAATAGAGAGAATATCATGTCCATGTTATTTCACCTAAAATCAAAAGTTAGGAAAAACATTTTTTTTACATAAAGTAAATTAATCCTGTTTTTAAGATCATTATGTTATTTTTTTTAAAGCATTGTGACATTTTTATGTCATTAAGCCCCTGTAATATGGGAGTATTTGTCCCTCACTTGTTCTCCAGGTTGAGAGATTCCCAGTTTAGCGTTCCGCAGGACCTCCGCTAGTCCAGCTCCTCCAGAGCTCTGGGGGGCAGTGTGACGCAACAGGTTCAGGGCTCGTTCTGGTAGTTTGGTTGGCTGGGCACATGACTGTTGCCATGATGTCAGCTTCTGAGACAACAGCTCTCTCACCTATCAAACAACATTAATTGGTAACACTTTACAATACGGGTGCACTAATATGCATTAATTCATGCTTAACTAATGCACAGATAATCATGAGTTAATGTATAACTCATGAAGAACTAAACCATTAATTAATGATTACTGCATTAGCAACTAATAAAGAGTCTATATGATTAATAGATTAAGTAATACATGAATTGCTATTAATTCAATGTGTCTTTGTGTATTAATTCCTTAATAACATATTTTATTAACTAATAGTGTAAATTAATGTGTTAATTACCACAATTAGTCAAAGCTATGCACTTCAACTTCTAGTTGTCTGCTTTAATTAATCATTAGCTAACGATTTGCAAAGGTATCATTATGTTATGACTTTACTTGTTGGGGCACATCATTATTAACTAGTCATTTAGTAATTGTAGCAATTTGCACATGAATTTGCAGTAACAATGAAGTAATTAATCATGTATTAATGCATATTAGTGTACCTGTCATATGATCTGGCAATATGAAATACAAGGCTTTGGCTCATTCTGGTAATTAACATGTTAATTGACACCATTAGTTAAAAAAATGAGTTATTATGGAATTAATCCACAATTACATATTTAATTAATAACAATTCATGTATGAACTAATACATTAACCTTACATACTCTTAATTAGTTCCTAATGTGGTAATCATTAATGAATAGCTTCGATAATCATTAGTTACACATTAATTCAGTATTATCTGTGCATTAGTTAAGCATGAATTAATGCTTATTAGTGCACCCGTATTGTAAAGTGTTACTGTCACAGACTAGAAGGACACAGATGGATGAGGGTAACCAGGTTTATTGACACAGGTGATATGGTAGACAGCAGGTGAGTAGGTAATGAATAAAGTTCAGTAATCGATCGGGAAACAGTCTGATGAAGTATATCTTATCTTGAGCAGGGTTGGAAGATGGAGAGCTGAGGCAGCGGACGGATGAGCAGCGGGAGACCGGGGACCGGGAGCGGAGAAGGAGCAGACAGGACGACAGTAAGCAGGTAAGTATCTCTCAAAACCAGGGTTTAGAGTAGCGGGAGTCTGTAGCCGGTGTGTCGACGAGACCAGACGGTGAGTGACTGTGAGGAGTGAGTTTATAAAGGGAGGATGATTGGGACGGTGATTGATGTGGGCAGGTGACGGTGATTAGAAGGCTGGGGAGCTGGAACGAGTGGGCGGAGTGAAGGTGTCTGGTGCTGACGCAGATGGATCCGTGACAGTTACCCATTAATTCATAATATTTACCCAGTTAAAAATTTCCTTATGACAAAAATTCTCCTCTGATTTTGACACTAAATGCTCTTTCTGTCAGAATGACACTGAAACTCTTCTACACTTGTTTTGGTCATGCAATTTTACTCGGGCAACTTTGGAAAGATGTTAGTGGGTTTATCTCAAGCAATATCTTGCCGAATTTCTCTATGAATCCCAAAACTGTTATTTTTGAAGCTGATTCAAATGCCTGCTTTGTAATAAATCTAATTCTTTTTCTATGTAGTCTTTATATTCACAAATGTAAGGTTTCAAATTGTAAACCATTTTTTTTGGTGTTCTTGGATGAGATAAAACATTATTTGACTACAATTTCATCCTCTCTTAACCCAAAAGCACTCAGAACATGTAACATTTGCAAGACAAACTTTTTAATTTATTTAATGTTTAGATTTATTTTCATTTAAGTAATGCTCGCTTTTTTTTACCCCCATTCTTGTTTATGTCACTGTCTAACTTTTTTGTGCTATGATGTTGTAGTCGTGTAATTATTATGTTGTTTCACACTGTAAACTGAATCAAACAACATTTTTAAAGTTGAGATAAATACACATTTGGACTTTGCATCACAAGTGCTGTCCCAGGAGTTTAGTATGACTGAAAAGCCAACTTATGGACCCAAATATATGCAAACATCAAATTGCATAAGTTTATAAATGCACTATAAGTGTTTTGAGGTCATGAATTAGTAATTTAAGATAATCTGCCTAGAGACTTTTTCCAGTGAACTTGTTTGCTAGTCCTCTACAGCCTGAGTTAGTTGGTTAAAGCTTCATTGTTGGTTCAAATCTGTAGTGTTACCTTGCAGTGGTAGTTGACGAGGATCTTGGTGACGGAACATTGACGGTCCACCAGAAAACAATAGCGCCGCCTTTCTTCTGTCAGAGCAGAGCGGTAACCAACGGCAACTAAAGAGTCCAACTCTCCCTGCCGGCGACTCATCAGCTCCACATACTGTTACAGAGAGACCTTTAATTAATTCATCTTTACATCGAATATGACAAATGTACACCATGACTGGCATCTAAGGCCAACGACTAAAGTTCAGAATCCTTAAAGCAGGAGTTCACAAACTTTTTGGTCAGCTGAACCCTTTTAGACATAAGATATAAACTTGAGACATATTATTTCAATACACATTTGCATGTTCACGGTTCTCTCTACATTAAGTTTACACTTGATTATTATTTAACTAACTATAAAAATAAAGAAACATATTACTGTTGTAAACTAAAAAGCCAAAAATTAATAACTGATAATTATACTACTAATAATTTTATTTTACACTACAAGTTAATCATACTAATATTTTTGTCTGAAAAGAATCACTTTCAAACATTCAAACCCTTGAGCTTTTTAACATTTTAAAACCTCAAGCTTTTATTTTTTCGTGTTTTTTTAAATGTATTTATTAATTGACGTGAAGAATCTTAGGACTAACATATTTGTATTTTAGTAGATTTTATTTTTAAGAATCACGACTATCATAAACATGACTTATATGTGGATAAATTAAACTCAACGTACTATTGAAATTGAACATTAATAATTGTACATGATAGCATTGATATAGCATTGTATTCAACACCCCCCCCCCAAACACACACACACACACACACACACACACACAAACACACTCCTGTCCCATCAACCTTTTAAAACAAAGTTATGCCACAAGTTAATTAAACTGCAGCCTTTGATTATCGTACAGCCATTTATTATATCGCACACATTTTTTTATTGTTTTTTATGTTTATTTATTACTTATTTATGTT